TGCAACATAAATTTTCTTTGTCACTCTTTCCTCATTCATTTTTTCCACATAACCAAACCACCGAAGCATTCCTTTCTTAATCCTGGTCACAACATCATCTTGCAAACCACACTCTTCTCTTATTACACAATTTCTTACCTTGTCGTTCAGATTCAGCCCTAAAATACTCCTTAACGACTGCATTTCTACTGCGTTGATTCTACTCTCGTGCTTCTTCTGCCACACCCAACTTTCACTACCATACGTTAAAGAAGGGACCAACACAGCATTGTGAATTGCCATACGTGCCTTTTTCGACACATTTTGACTCTTCACCATAGAGTGCAGGGCCCCATTTACTCTATTTCCCGCATTCACTCGTCGTTCTATATCCTTATCATATCTCCCATCCCTGCTAAATACGCAGCCCAAATATACAAACTCATCTACTTGCTCGATCAACTCTCCTTCTATTCTTATTTCACAAATCGTTTTACTTTCTTCTCTTTCAAAAACCATAACCTTCGTCTTACTTGCGTTCACTTTCATACCCCTTTCTTTTAATGATCTGTTCATTAATGTAACCATCATTTGCAACTCGGCCGCCGACGACGCAAGGATAACTTGATCATCGGCGTACAAAAGGCATTTGACGGTTAACTTACCCATTCTTAATCCGCATTCTTCAACTTTCAAATTTTGCAAACCACTGTCCATAAATAGGTTGAACAGCCACGGGGAAGCCACACAGCCCTGTCTGACACCTTTATGGATGTCAAACCAGTCCGAGTAGACCCCGTTGATCCTAACACAAGCACTAGAGTCCCTATAAAGAGACTCCAATGCCTGTATTAAGCCAGCGCTCAACCCAAATGAGTTCAGTGTTTGCCATAGCACATCCCTATCCACTCTGTCATAGGCCTTTTCCAAGTCCATGAACGCACAAAAAACCTTTTGGTTTTTGGCCAAAAACTTCTCCGCGATCATGCGCATGGAAAAGACTTGATCTGTACATACCATTCCCTTTCTGAATCCCGCTTGCACATCCCAAATTTATCCATCAGTTTCTTTCATGACCCTTTCAATCAGTACCTTAGCATACAGTTTTCCCACAATGCTAAGAAGGCTGATACCACGGTAGTTTTTACAGTCCTGCTGCGACCCTTTTCCTTTATATACTGGGACTATCACGGCTTTGCACCAGTCTACCGGTACCCGCTTCAGGTCCCAGCATAAATTAAACAAGGTGTGCAGCAGGCCTGCCACCACTTCCTCTCCAGCCCTTAGCATTTCGAGTGAAACTCTATCATATCCGGCAGCGTTACCTGCTTTCATGCTTTTCATTGCTTTCATTATTTCATCTATACTTATCTCGCTACCTCTTTCCTCTTCTTTCGGAGTTTAAACTCAGTAATATGCAAATTATTTTTAATTAACCAACAAAACTGATTATTTGTTAAATTATCTAAATAAATAACTCAATAATCAATAATAATATAACCAATACCTACGTGTTTCGCTTTCGAACTGAGAGGCAAAATAACAGTTAACATCATTTCCGTAAATCATGATAATTACTTTTCATATTGAAAAATTTTGTAATGATTTTAGAAATAATTTACGTTATTAAAGGCGACAAACAAACATACAAACCTACTAATAGTAACTATAACTTCCTTCGATGAAGAACTTAAATGCACCCGTCATTATACGAAACACAGCACCATTATCCTCATTTTCCGCTAGTATTCTAAATACGCCTACGCAAATCAAAGACGAGAATGGACTCTGTGTATGGGGACTCTGTTCTATCATTTACCGCTGTGAAATTTAGGGCAGCTTAATTTAAACGTGGTCGTAAGAGCTTGGGAGACGATGAACGTTCGGGACGTCAAACACTGCAACTACTGACGATAACATCGCTAAAGTTCCCCAAATGGTGCTAGACGCCGCCGAATTAAAGTAAGAGAGATAGTAAAGGCTATGAAAATGTGTAAAAAAATGCATTTGTCACATATTAAATCAAGATTTAGGCATGAGAAAACTGTCAGCGCGTTGGGTCCCGCGTTTGCTCTCGTTAGACCAAAAACGTGTTCGAATGAACATTTCCAACGCTCTGTTGGCTCAGTTTGGGTGCAATAAATCTGAGTTTTGGCGCCGATTAATTACTGTAGATGAAACTTGGATACACCAATATACGCCCACAAAAAATACAAAAAATACAATACAGTCAAAATAGTGGACTGCAAAAGGGGAACCGGCTCCAAAAAAAGCAAAAACTGTTTTTTCGGCTAAGAAAGTTATTGAATAAAACGGCCACATTTGCAAAAAAAGAAAATCCTGTTTCACCATGACAGCGCGCCGTCTCACAACTCAGCGGTGGTCATGGCGAAAATCCACGAATTACGGTTTGAACTGCTTGACCTTCCGCCTTACTCACCAGATCTATCCCCACAGCGACTTGTTTTGTTCCCTCATCTAAAAATTGCACTTGTAGGACAGAGGTTTCCGTTAAATGAAGAGGCAATCACCGTCGTGAGCAACTATTTTACAAAGAAAAACGCCGAGTACTATTTGGACGGGTTACAGAGATTGGAGTATCATTGGAAGAAATGTGTTACAAGGAGTTGCAGGAAGACTATGTAGAAAAATAAAACTAAATTTTGAGAAAAAATGTCTTGTATCTTGTTAGGTTGGAAGCATTTCAGACCACCAACATACATAACTTTACCTTGTTTATCTTACCTTGTTTAAATAACTGTCCTGAACTCGACTACATTATGCGTTCATCTTAACTTGACGCATAAGTGATTTGCCTTTATATTAATTTTTAAATATCGCGTTTTTGATTCCAAAGCCCGCTCGCCGAGGACGATAACATTCCCCGGCTCTGTTACTCTCGTATAAATATATTGCCGTCGTACTCGCACACAGGCAATGACCGCCATCATCAGATACAGAAAATCTTTTAGCCATAACAATAAGGTTTTGTCTTATGCAAATGTGTTTGTCTTGACATTTTTATTCAATTTAACCCTTCGATCCCCATAAAAATCCGATGCAGTCGCATGTGCCCGGCAAATCCCGAGCGGTCGCATGCAATCGCAGCCACCCATAGCACTTAAAAGTTAAAACCATTAAAAGTTATATTTAGAGAATACTTTTCTATGAAGAAGTTTGGCATTACAAAATTCTATACAAAATTCTCTATATAAAAGTCAGGTTTTACTTCATTACAAAAAGACTATTGTATTTTGATAACAAAAACAAAACATACCAAGCGAATGTCAGCAGCGTGAAAATCACAATTATTTCAATATATATTACTCGAAATTATTTACGTAAAAAGATAAATTATATTCACACAAAAACTTTCATTACGATTTTATAATAAAATACTATACTAAAACACTAATAAAACACTAGAAAAATCCAAAAATCAACACAATAACATTCATCCGAAAATGGCATACGAAATTAACGTAGATTATAAATAATTATCCATAAGATAACTTGACTTTTTATTGCACTAGAGGATAGAAAATTTCATATTGATTCTATAATGTCAAACTTCTTCATGATCTCTAAATATAAGTTATGGTTTAATGTGCTGTGGGTGTGCGCGGTTGAATTCAACCGCTTAAATTTTGACAGAATAGCGCAGTGGTCGAATTCGACCGCTTGGGGGCTGAGGGGTCAAGAGTTTCAGCAACATTAGTTACATAGTTCTCGGACTTGATTAAATAGTTTTTGAGGTTTTGCAGTATGTTCGTTACTTTGTTATTTCGCTACGTTACTCATTGTTAAGTTTTTTTTTGTTGTTCCCCGTTATTACTTATGTTATATGATGGAACCAGTCTTTTCGTCAGTTTTTTCTACCTCACATCCAGTCAATCAGTTTGTTACTCTACGAAACTCGGAATGAAAAATGTCTAAATTTGGATATACTTAAACGTCATAACTCCAAGTCCCATCCCTCTAAAATTTTGCAATATTTAACAGATCAAAATAAAAAAGTTTTTTACCAGTGGCAGTTAACATAAAGGTCTTTGTACAAAATTCTATGTGCTCGGTGACCTGAGCATAATTCGACTGATTGTTATTCTCTTGTTTTACCTGTTATTCTGCGCTTAGAAAATAACGAAAGTTTTAATGGACTAATATGAAATTATTTTAAATTTCACAAGGCTATCATGCGTAACACGTATCAAGTATAGTTGTTCACAATGAAATAAAATGAAACAAAGGAAATTATGTATACATATTACGTGTTAAAAAGTTCACGTCGACCCCTTGCGTTGTGACATTGCATTTAATTATTTTTATGGTATATCTGTATCATCATCATGATACGTTTTCATATCTCAATTAGATTGTATATTATTTTTCTAGTAGTTAAATTATGCTAAAATTAAAATCTGTAATAATTAAAGTTACGGAGATATGGATAATTCAAAAGAAAAAGGTAAATTTTTATTCCGTATCCCGGGGGAATTTCGAAAAAAAGAGAGGATGACACTCAATACACATGCTAATTGTTTTACGAAATTTTGAGTATAAGACTACTTAAAATTATCAAACATTCTATTTATATTAAAGTAACAATATAAAAACTTTTTAACCAAAAAATTAAACCGCCGAAAAAACTGAAAAGCAAAAAATAATAAACATTTTTATTTTACGTTAATAACTAAGTTCTTAAACTAATGTAAATTAACCTAAGACAATTTGAGTCGGCGGCAAATAGAGTCACAATCTCTAACTGACAATACTCAAAAAAATGTCCGAGCGCCGTTCCATATACCTATATATTTTGATATTATATAGTTCAAAATGACATTTGCTCGAATTTAGACGTTAACCTGCTTGTATAATGTTCAAAGTCGCTCGTATGCAATGTCATCATCATTCACTCAAGGGCTTGCGTACGAGCAGGGAACAAGGCATCAGTGGAGACGCTATTTATACTAATATTATTAGGAGTTTATAATAATTGTGAAATATGAGTATGTTTTTGTAGTCTATTGATCTGTCTGTTTTTGTTTAAAATCATTTTTTCGCATAAATTCAGCTTTCTCTTTATAACAGTTTTTCTGGGAGTGTCTAAAATAGACCCAATACTTATAGACGTAGAAGGGCTCTGTTCGATTTTTTCTTGAATTTTCCTCCTGAAGCAAATAAAAAAATGATAATAACGAAATATTTTTTAAAATCATACAATTTTATGACGTAAATTCACTACCTGCAAGCATACAACGTTAGTTTGTTGGCATATTTCTTCATCGTTCCCAAATTCATTATCAATCTGGAATAAATAAATAGGAATTAATTTTGCCTTTATATTTTATTATACGTACTTTATTTACGGCAATTATTTATTTTTAACTTACATCAAAAGACAATTCAATGCTATCTTCATTTTGTTTAATTGTTTGCTGATTGTTGTCGTGATCTAAGTTTACGTGAGTGTTGTCTTGATCTGAACTATCGTAACTTCTAAGTTGTTTTTTATTCAGCTGTAATAGAAATCATAGATCATACATTTATCTGCAAGACGTAAAATAAGCAATTTTTGAATAATGCACGCATTTTAAGAATACAAAATCGAAAGTTATAATAAAATATTACATTGTAAGCATTAAAAAGGAATAAGTTCTTACATGTAAAATGGGTTTTGCATTTTTGTTAAGCCTACTGAAACCTTTCGTTGTTGTATAAATGTCTGAAGCAGGAAAGTGATTAGAGCATACAACCGACCCTTTATATGGCTTGTAGTTTAATTCATTTCGGGCTTTTGCTATAATAACTGTCCATTCAGAGCATCTTATGGGGTTTCGAGGAAAACTAAAAACAAAAAAAAACATATTGTAATTATACTTTAAAATAATAAAACTCTTTCGACCTACATTTTGTACGGAAAACTAAAAAATAAAACATTTAACAACATTGTAATATTAGTACATTAAGTTTAAAATCTGTAAAAATATTTATTGTATCAATCCACTCCATAGAACCGTTAGAACATAATTTGCGAGTCACTCTCGTACGCGTGACTATTTGTTTCTCTTTTACTCTTGCATATTTGTCTAACGTGTGAAAGAGAAACGTTATCGCGGCGCCGCGCGGTCGGCGGTGAGTGTTTTAGTTTGCTAATAAAATGAAAATTATTGAAATTTAAATGAAAACATGCACTGTGGATACATAAATACGTAAATTTGGTATGATACTTACCTAAAATATGAAACACCATCCTTTTTTCGCACGTGTCTGCTGTTATTTGGGCAGGAAATCACCGAACACTTTGGCATCGCGGACGTTGTACGAGGATTGTGGTCGCCTTACAACTAAACAAAAACTCTGCGCACTTCGCAGCGTGCGCCGAGTTTTGGCGCGGACATTTTATTTGTCTGTTTGTGACTCTATAGGTATTGTAACTCAATGGCGGCAAACGAGCAAATTAATTAAATTACGTAAAGCGTGATGCGCGGCACGACACGCCCCTTCGCCGCCTTGCCGAGCTTTCACGTAGTTATTGTCAGCGAGACAGTAACCCGAACGAATACACACGTGCGGGCACACGACTTGCGAGCGTTCGTGCAGAGAGCGTATTAATGTTAATGTTTATCGCTGAAGATTCCACGTTGCATTGTTAATTTGATTCGGTTATTTCTTTAAATTTAAGGTAATTTAGTGATCTTTATAGGTATAACTTGCCTTAGTTTAAGAACTTAGTTATTAAGGTTAATTAAAAACTCAAAATAATTACAAAAATATATACTTAGGTACATTTACATTAGTTTAAGAACTTAGTTATTAAGGTAAAATAAAAAGGCTTATTATTTTTTGCTTTTCAGTTTTTTCGGCGGTGTAATTTTTTTTTTGTTAAAAAGTTTTTATTTTATAATTTTTGACTATAATCTACTTATTGCTACATGCTTAATTTTTGATGACTTTTAAAACAGCTACTTACCTTATTTTAGCTATTGAAGCTGTAATTAACCTCGAAAAGAAAATGTTTGCCAAAGGGCAGGCATATGTGGCACGGAGTATAGTAAAACACATGAGGTTGCTTTATCTGATCTAAAACCAATAAGGTATTACACGTATAAAAAAATCACGATGAACGAGCTTTATCAGAAATGCAGAGACTGAGAGACTGAACTTAGACACACAAGAGACTGACGGTTCTAAGGCCCATTCATCGTGAATTTTTTTTGTAATGTAATGTAATTATTATATAATGTTGTATTACACTACTCCGCATTAAACTATGTGAGTAAATAATAAATCACCCCTATTCTCCCACCCTTAGGGTAATTTTTTTTCCAAATTTATATGAGACCAATTTCTAGGTATACCATATCCAATAAAAGAGTATTATCAAAATCGGACTACTCTGTACTAAATCACACCTATTTTCCCACCCTAGGGTAAAAAAAAAATTTTCCAAATTTATATGGGACCAATTTCAAGTCGAAGCGTATATTTTTTGTTTTTTTTTTTATGTATGCCCACGCATAACTTTTTACAGAGTAGTACGATTTTGATAATTCATTTTTTGATGGATAGGGTACCTTGAAATTGATCCCATAGATATTTGGAAAAGAAATTTTTACCCTAAGGGTGGAAAAATAGGGGTAATTTATTACAGAGTAGTACAGAGTAATTCTTTTCTTAATGGATAGGGTATACGTAGTATATACGGGTATATATGGACCCACATAAATTTGGAAAAAAAAAATTTACCCTAAGGGTGGGAAAATAAGGTTGATTTATTACAGAACAGTTCGATTTTGATAATTTTTGTTTATTGGATAGGGTATACCTCGAAATTGGTCCCATATAAATTTGGAGAAAACATTTACCCTAAGGGTGGGAAAATAGGAAAAATAGACCTACGAATCATTCTACCTATGTTTATTCTATGATAAAAAAACCAACCGCGCGAACTCAGAGTAGCGCACATTTTTTGTTTGAGATAGCTGTTCTAATACGTAAGTACACATATTACTTCAATGTTACCGACATAAGTTTTCCATTAAAGCATATTTTCCATTATAGTAATATCCATTAAGAGGGGAACTGTGAAGTGCTCGCAACGTATCGAACGCATTTTAATGCTTAGACTCTAAATTCTAAGAGTATTTTGTGTAAGTTAAATAATAGATACATTTTAATAGGAAGGTACTTAAATTTTTTTTAAAAATAGAAAGCCATCAGTGCGATCGTGCAACTCTGTTGGAAATAGTAGTTAGCATCGTTTTGATTTTTGTCGTTTGATGTTTGGTTTTATTATTATTGAGTACTAACTGTCCGCCTTTGCTTCGCCTGAGTATATTTTAATGTACCTCTTAATGTAGCTTTATGTATCTTTTAATATAGCTTTATTAAGATTTAAAGTAATCATCAAAGACCATTCATGTTATCAATTTTTCAATTTCTAAAAAAAATTAAAGTTTATCGGATAAAATATAGCCTACATTCATCGATATACATATATGTACTACGCACTAGATATGGCATTCCGAACACTCACTATGTTCAACTGAAGTGTACTGCAATCCGTACACCCGTTATTGTGGCTTCGATGTTCATGCAGTGCGGAGCGGCGCTAATAATAATTTTATATTAATTAACACAAAAATTAAAAAAAATATACTCGATTAACAATACAATCTAAATAAACAATTATTTATTATGACAATTTTCGCGCGATTATATCAACTGCGCATGCGCGACTCTATCGTTTCCCGCGCATGTGCGGAATCAGAGTAGCGCACATTTTTTGTTTGGAATAGCATCTCTAGTATAATTGCCAACATAAGTCGTGAGCACACTTTTTATTGGTCGATACGACGTTGACCACGCTGACGTTCAACGTGATTGGTCCAACAGTCTATTCTCGTCGTCTATTGGTTTCGAACGTATCGTTCGTCTTCCGTACACTTCAAAGCAATAATTTTAGTGATGACTGCCGCGGTAAAGTTTTTTTATCAACTTATGCAATTATAATTATTTATTTATTTTATTTATGCAGTTAAGTCTTTGATATTAAATCAAGTTACACTTTTTGAGCGTGGTGACCGATAAGAAAACAATTTTTTTTTCTCTTATTGAATAAATGAGAAGTTAATATTGTTTAAAATAATTTTAATATCTTACAATACATGTAGGTTATTCAGGAATTTTTATCATTGAGTTAGCAGCTAGTGTACACGCATACGTCTAGTCGCACGCACACAAACACCGTGCCGAACTCTGCCGAGTGCCGAAGTCTGCCGAACTGAAACGACGTTAGACGATGCACGGCTTTCAACGCCACACCTCCGTGCCCGTCGGAGTGGGGAGCGTCAGGTTTTTTTTCGTTACGGAATTTCTGGATTCGGTCCCCGCGCTCAAGGCCCGCGATAGAAGCTATGCAATAACTTAATAATTGAAACTAATTTTTAATTATTTTCGTTAATTGTTTTTGTTACCTCGTTGTTAATTGTTATTTGTGTATTCCTTGTTATTAATTGTTTTTGTTATTTCTTGTTTTTAATTATTTTGTTGTTATAATTTGAGTGTTCAGATTTTGGTCTAAATATGCAGAGAAGGAAGACAAATGGTCTATTCAGTGTTTAGTTACATGAAAAAATTAGGTACTGCGAAAAACGAACACCAGATTTTATAGAAGGCATATCACCTCTTCCTTCTTTTTAATAAAATAACCAATTCTAATCACCAGGTTTAATGTATTAAATACTTTATAGTAGATAATAAAATAACGGACACGAATATCTGCAACATTACTGTATCAAAGTAAAAGTTGATGTGTTCGAGTAAACATTTTCATAAAAGTCGGCGAAAATATTCAATTACGAATTGAAATAATAAAGGTACCCAATAATTTTGCCCGACAGTGTACCTACCTCCCACCACAGTTTATCTGTGCTCACGATTCGTGTTGGCAACTATACGTAGTACATATAACTCAATGCTTACATCACTACTGGCATTGCTCTATCAGTTCATTTGTCAAGTTTCAGTTCAGTCGCTCCGAAGATTAGCCCGGATAGATAGACAGACAAAATTTTAAAAAATGGTTGTTCATGCCTTAATGGCATGCAAATAACCGCCTCAACTAAATAAAAGGCAGTTATTTGATTATTAGAGACAGATAAGTTTATATGTATGTAGATATGTATCAATACTGTTACGAGCTTAGGGTTCGGGACAATAAAAACTGCCGATTGAATTACCAAAATTAACACTTTAATTCACTTTACATAATTAAAACTTAAAACACTAATAATTACCACATTAATACACTTTATTTCGCTCCGACGCTTCGCTTGTCTCGCCAAATTAAATACTGCCCCGATCGCATCTTGCAGCGCCTTTAAATACACATTATCAACGAAACATCCAGAATATTCAAGTAAATACGCGCGCCAATCGACTAGGTGCCGAAAGTTCGAGTGTCGGGCTTCTAGAAGCTTAGTTCTTCGTTTCGATACTAGATGGCGCTGTCGGTTGAAAGATTAGTGATGTCATTTTCTGGAAAGCTCCCCTCGCTCTCATCCCCGACACTAGATGGCGCTAGTGCCGGGTACATGACGTCAACTTAGGCGTGCAACAATACCAATTATAATTCTGTCTTTTTTATTAAAATTTGGGAGAGTTGCAATTTAATTTTAAGTATCATAAAAATTACATATCACATAACAACTTTCTATTATCTTATTTTAGGTGAAAAAATATTATTAGCATGATGGAAAAATATAACACAGTTGTGGAGTAATTTCCACCGGCAAACGATTGCCACAAGACTTACGGCGGCTCTACACGTTGGCCAACACAGTGGCGAATGTAGTGGCGAAGATATTTGCCGAGAGTTTGTGTCGGCATCCACACGTTGGAAGGTCGTTCAGTTTGCTTCGGTTCAGGCCAATGTGCGGATGAATTTATTTTACGACGGATCCGTGGCGCAGTGGATTAGCAATGAGTGGCTGCGCTGGGGGCCGCGGGTTTGAATCCCGCACGGAACAAGTATTTGTAATGGATTATGTGGATATTAATGGGGTTGTAAATAGATATACGATTAGCTTTATTTATTCTTTACATGTATCATAAACTGGAATAAATACCATTAATTAGTGATTTTGACTGAAATTTACCTATATACTGTTTTTTTAATGAAAAATGTTTCAAGAAAGGAAGTTATTGGTGAGGGCAATAAGCCCAGTATTGTACTGATATTAAATACTAAATCTCGAAACTGAAATTACTGACATAAGTTTTCCATTAAAGCATATTTTCCATTATA